CCCCCCCCCCCCGGGATCTGGACAGTCCCTGGGACTACGCTGGACAATGGAATACTGAGAAAGTAAGCTGTGCTCATCTCTGCGTTCGGGACTTAAACACGCATGGTATCTACTTGCCTCTTCTTTTGGTTTTTCTTGACTCTTTAAAAATGCTCCCTTGGAGTTCTAAGGTTTCATGTAAGATCAACAACTACCCACTAAAGGACTATATAGAACGTCTAGTGTCCATGAAAAGAGTGAAAAACTATCAAGGCATTAAGCCTGTGAGTAGTCATTTTTTAAAAAAATGTATTTTTATTATTTCCGAGAGAGGAAGGGAGAGGGAGAGAGAAACCTCAGTGATGAGTCATCCACCGGCTGCCTCCTGCACGCCCCCTGCTGGGGATCGAGCCCGAAACCCTGGCATGTGTCCCGACCGGAAATCAAACCTCAATCTCCTGTTCAATGCTCAACCGCTGAGCCACACCGGCCGCGCATGAGAAGTCATTTTTGACACTCTAGACCAACCCAGCCACCAGCTGAACGCAACTAGATTAAATTATTCATTTTCTGAATTCATTCTCTGTTCAGGTGAGTAAGCATGAAATTCAGAGCAGGATGTTCTTGGGCAGAGAACAAACTGATTAAACAGCAAGTCGCAGTACTGGCAAATATATTCAGGCCCCAGTTCCTCCGTACATATTCATCTGTTCGGGAAATAAGGAATATGAAAAGGACCGTTCAGTTCCTCCGCCACCACCATCGTCATCGGCGGCACCATCACCATCTATTTAATACTTTGCTCTCTATATCACCACCACCATCATCATCATCATCACCATCAAAAGGGGAAAAAGAATGAAAATATAATCATAATTTTTCAAAGAAACATCAAGAATAGTATTTGCCCAATTATCTGGGTACTTTGGTCTTGACACATAAAATGAACAATCACACCGAAGACCCACTAGGAAAAAAGCGCTGCGAAATGTGTGAGATTTATGTTCAATTAAACCTGTGTTAAGTTGAAAATAAGTCGTGGGAATTTAACAGATTTGATTCAAACCATTTTTCTCATTTGGAGCTTTAGAAATAAGTTTTAAAAACCAGACCTTAGTGGGGAGACAAAGCAAAATTCTTTTCAGTTGGAAAGATTTGCAAAGACATGTTTTGTCACATTGCTGTGGAAAACAGAAGATAATGAAGTCTCCACAAGGCCCTATTTTTAACAGGCTTTAGAACTCACTGAAATAAATTGGGACCTATTTATAGCATTGCACCGCGGATTCCAGCTCAAATAGTCACCACAAGGTACAATACAAAGACCAGTATAGAGTCTGTGACACCCAACTTATAATTAATTTGTTTAGTTTTGATCTACTACAACTATGGTAGGTGCTGCAATAAAACCACACAAAAATCAGCAGCTCCTTGGATGGGATGCCGTCTTCTGGCCCAAGCATTACCTATCCAGGGTTCTTGGGACCCCA